ATAAGGTATAATGGGACTGACATGTTAAAAATTACGAAACATATTATTCTATTATTATCATAATTTTTACCCCCCTTCACTTTTATGTTTTAGTGGAATTTTTTTTGCGCACTACTTAAGTACGCCACACATATAGGCACAGAACGAATAGTACTAACGTAATAATATGGGCAGTGCAACGGATTTTCCTGCTCTAAAACTCCAATTAGAACATTTTCTTACATTCATTTTTACTCAGGTAATAAAGTGTATCTTGTGTTCCTGTGTCTGCAGCGAAAAAGTTCACGTATAAAACACAGAGTAATAAAAAATTCAACATAACGCTTCCAGTCATTTGTGTCTATTTTACTAGATACAAGACATACAAGACAATATACAAGGGAACATGTCTCGATTAGTCTAGGATTGTTTTATTTTTACTAGACAAGAATCATAACTAGATCTAAACCTTCTCAATCTATTGTATGCGTGAAGTGGTGAAACTGCTCCCGCATTTAGATTTATAAATTATTAACATAACATATATAGAATATTAAAAACACATAATGAAAAAACTAAAAACGTAAATTAATAATTAAAGCCAGCGTTCTGCGGACCGCGATATAGCGCCAAAGATGCTAGCTGCGATTTTTTATCATAATAAATATAATTGTATTGTATAATTGTATAATTCGACATTCATTCATTAGAGCTTATCAAAGTTCACTGCTGATTGGCTTCCCCAGAAGTTCCCCACTTGGTGAAATTTGCCATAGCTACCATGCTCGGCAGTGGCTGTGGTACCGCCTGTTTTATTTCCTGATTGTTATTTGGAAGATATTGCAGCCCGTCTCTTGGTTTTTTCTTCCTCTGTCACCTTTTACGAAACCACTCCAAAATGTTTTTCTCATGCTATGTTGTATTAAAACTTTAGATTGACCGTGTAGTGATGGTGTAAGAATATACCATATTGTCCGGCTGGTCTCGCAAAAGACAACAGAAATAAACCAGGAAATATGATAGGATATATAATATATAACATTAATCGACGAGCATGTAGGCGTAGGTAGGTATATGGATGTAAAGAAGGCGAGAGAGGTGTGTCAGGGACGTGTCAAATGGAAGTCCGTAATCCCTGCCCACCCTTCTGGATTAAAGGCGTGAATGTTTATGACAATATATTAAGATTGGCACCTAAACCCTGTACCCAAAAGTAAGTATAGATTTAAAATGAGGGTCCTCTGAATAGCGAAGAAATAGCTTGCTTTTAACATAAAAAATACTATCTAGATTTGAATATTTTTTGATTTATTATATAAAAAATTAATCTTCCTTTTTTCGTATTTTATGCGCTGCCATAAATTTCATCAGAATGCGGTAAAACTTTGTTACCTTATTGCTTACACTTGTGCGAAGGTTATAGGCATAGTACAATTAACTTACACTAGGTGGCGCGCCTTTCGTATTGACAAATTTATTTTAGTCATATATGTATATGAAAGATAATATAACTCTTCCAAATTTAAAACGATAATCCCACAATTATTTCTCCTGCGGCAGCAATTCACCGGATACCAGCTAGCAGTTTATAAAAATAAATAGGAGTGTAGTTATACCTAGATGATTGAATCAGCTTTAGATATAAAATATACATCAATCTGGGCAGACGACCTCCCAAAAACAGTTCAGAGAATATAGTATATATTAATACATAGAAAACTGACGAGCCTTCACAATAGGTATGAACACAATAAACTTTGGGCGGGAATCAAATTTTTGTCAATCGCAAAAATATGAAGGAAGGCGCCGCATTGTGCATAATGGCTTATTACTTATTCAGAAGCACTCTTGTTAGGAACGTAAGAGAATGTGAATAGTATTTAATTATTTGTCGCTTTCTCAAAGTGGAAGCTGGAATGTGGTGCAGCTAAGTACGTGGCATATTCGTATGAGTAATAGTACCAGTTAAATACGAAATTTATGTCATGTTTCACGATTGTGTCCGTTGTGTACATTGCGTAAAAATAGGATACCGATCGAATATCATACAGAAGGAATATCTGTGCTATTTACATCCTGTATTTTTCGGTCTATGGAGATGTATATGGGCCAAAGCATCCTTTCACCACCAGGGGGACTGTGTGCTCGTTATTCTAAAAACAAAATTAGAACTTCATATTACTAATATCACATAAGTATAGAAGACAGCTCAGAGTTTCTTCGTATGATAGAAATCATAAAGAGGATATCCGCAGTGGAACCCACAGAACGCTAATACCCTTAGGCGGGAAGAATGTCAACTTCTCCAAAATCTCTGTCGTGCCCCACTAAAACTTTTTTGCGCGGGAATTTTGAAACGTGATTTTTTTTTAGTTGGCGTCTTGGTTGTTTCGTTTCAAAAATGGCTTAAGAATGTAAAATACCATATAGATAGATATAGCTTGTAGTTTTTCGTTTCAATGATATATATTGCTAAATTAAAACGAAAACAAAAGCACAAAGTTATTTGTAAATTATGGTACTTTACATTCATATACCACTTTTGAAACGATTATCAATCATTTTAATATAAAAAAGGAACTATTTTTCAAATAAAAGTGGTTTTTGAAATATATAATTTTTATTTACATTACATACTTGTCCACATTGGTACATAGAAAAACCGTTGGTACATTGATGGACGTAAGTGACGTAGTAATTAACTAATTTTTAACTTTATGCATGTAAACAGTTCTCAACAGCTCTTAACTAAATATCGATTTAATAGTTAAGTAGTTATGTAAAGCAGAATAGTCTATTTTTAAGAGGTAGGCGTGTTTTAGCGAAGTATAGGAAATAAGCATTCCAATCAATGATTATTAGTTTATAGCTAATTAGTTCGTCACTTCACCTATTAAGTTAACGGCATATGTAACATGACATTTAAGCAAAATGGAAAGTAAAGGTACATTGGTTTTATATAAAAAAAATATTAGACAATCTAATATAAACACTTTTTTCTAACAAGAAAACATTATTTACCTTCACATTCTACAAACAAGGCAATAGCTTTGCAATATTATGTCTAAACTTCAATAACGATTGGAACAAATTATTTTCATTATATTATTGTTATTGACTGCATTAAAAAATAATAAGTCAACATTTTCATGTCATTATTTTAGCACTACCTGCTGCAAATCCACGAAAAACAAAAATAATAAAGATATGTTAATAAAAATGAAATATCATCTGCGAAAAATTAACAGGCTTCAAAAAACTGTAAAGCATCTAAAGAATGAAGCATTTCTCAAAGAAAAAAAATTCTGAAATATTAAAATGTAAAATATCCCCCTTAAATTGATATCCTGCAGAATAAATAAGATATTACATGGAACTACTTTTTCTGTATGTACAGTCATAATCACTTCGGTAGTGACATTATATAAGGAGATAAAAGGAGAGGGAGTGGGGAGTGCCAAGGAGTGACTAGCGCTGATGAGGCTACGGATGTGTGTAAAAGTGTTCCCATAGTCCGATAAGTGGTGAAGGTGAAACACCTGAGAGTTTTAGTTGGAGTGGGTCAGATATTCCTTGCTTCCGCGAGGCAGGTAGGATTTAAATTGAAGTTTTTTTTTAATTGTTTGTTATTGGATTTCGAATATAGTATTTTCGAAACTATCACTTTACTGGTGCGAATCATACCTTACAGTATTTTTATCGTTTAATGTCGGATAGTTTATTAGTCACTCTACAAACAATGGTATTGCTTTGCAACTAACTTTTAAGTTTAAGTTTAATTAAGTTTAATAATTAAGTTAAGTTTAATTAATGAATTAAGTTTAATTAACTTTTAAGTTTACTGTGGGATATGGATAACACATACATTTGTATTTTATATAGAATTTAGCAAGTAAATGCTGTGACACTTAGACATCTACCTGTATTATCGAAAAATAATAAATAATCACTACTTATATTAAATCGATCGTATAAAAATATAAATTAATATATATTTAATCGATTGTATGTATCGACTATTAAATCGATATTTAGTTAAGAGCTGTTGAGAACTGTTTACATGCATTTTAATTACTTATATATCCATGTAATATCCTATTTATTCTGCAGGATATCAATTTTTCTTTTAAGAGCAGATGCAGAGTACTCTTCTGCAAATTGCCGATTTTTCAAAATACAAAATCTCTTCATACAAATGTGAAATACGCTATTAAATAAGTAATCTATATTCATATCTTTATGTTCTGGACATTTATCGAGTCACTCCAAATTTATTGAGTTTCTGAACAAAACTTTAATTGTCCCTTTTAATTTTTTTTAATATGCTTCTACCTCTAAAAAATCATAAATCATCGTAGCACTACTTCAATACAGTTGATGAGGTTTTTAGAGGCGTATTTAAGGGACTTTTTTAGATCACTATATTCTTTAAAGTCAATAAAAGTATGTGATCTCTCTTGTGTCTCAGATACAAAAATTTTTTTACAAATTTCACATTTGTTGAGATTATTTTTTACTATCAACCCACAGACATAGGCACATGCTTGTATTTCGCCACTGCTTTCTTCCAAGCTACATTCAAATGTAGAATTTACACTTTCTTCTAACTCATCGGTTAAAATTGTGGCATAAGCAGTGTGTGTGTCTGTGGGTGGAGACAATAAAGTTTTAAAATTTGTCAATATAACTTGATTTTGGTCTTCTTCACAATTTCCTGTCCCAATAAAAGATAAGTTGCTAAGGACAGCCGTTTTAAGACCCGCAACAAACTGCCCAGCGGTGGGATTTGAATTGCAGCCGCAATTGGCCCGAATGCATCCAAAAAGATTTTCTAACGGGTCCTGCTGGAGCCTTCTTGTTTCCAAACTTTTTATTGATTTATGTTTAGAACTGAGATTTCTCCAGATTCGTTCTATTCCATTGATGGACCTTCTTGGGATGGAGGGGTTCGTTTGCATCCCAAAAACGTCATTTCTTTAAAAAAAATCTTCATTAAAGTGAAATGTTTGAGATATGGTGTATTATTTGTCATGTTTGTCGAAAATGGTTTCCCCCTTCTTGGTTCCACAATCAAACAGCTTGTCCATATTTGCAATAACATTAGCAGTAGTGACGGCCTCTGAAGAGAGTTCCCCTGTAAACAATACATAATTTAAGATCTTACTATTAGGATTAAAGAAATATGATTTAAAGTATATTACAAGACAACTCAAAAAAAAATATCACATATCACACAATAAACAATAATTTGTACTTGGGAGAGCCTAGTTCCTTTTTAAGTTAATAATTATTTTAATGGGTGGACATATGTTTAAATATTATACTTTAAATTATAAATTGAATTTACCTTGTGAAATTTTAGCATATATTCCTGCAGCAACTGAGTGGCTTAACACTTGTGCAGCTAGCTTCACCTTCATCTTCTGCTTCGTATTTGGATTTAAATGTTCTTGTTTTAAGCAAGGTGCAAACACAAAATTGGGATTGGTGTTATCTGTTTCATAAAACTCCTTTATATGGCTCCATTTAGCAACACCTGTAAAAAACATTTGTGTAAATATCCAGTAAATTGGAAATATGTATAATATTATGATTGTAATAAAACAAAATATTTTACCAAATCCAATTTGATCATTTGATGTTATATTTGTTGGACATTTAATGTCATATTTTAAAAACATATTTCTAAAGCATTTGAGCAAATGCGGAGTATCAAGAATGGTAACCACTTCTCGATTACTTAGCAGAATATATGGCTGTTCTACAGATGCTCCCAAGATACTTAAAGCTCTCTTATTCACACCATCTATATCACACACTGTAGCTGAAATATTAATTCCAGCATCAAAACAATGTTGTAGGACCTAGAATGATAAAAGAGTAAATTAATACGGTAAAAAAGTACTACTACATATATTGACATAATAACAAATAAAAGACCATAATGCTCACCTCATTTATAATAACTGACAGCCTATCTGCAGTCACAGATCCGCTAGAAAAATAATAAGCAATTGGTTGTTTCAGCTTTTTACGGATTCCGCCAATCACGAACACGAGGGCATGTGTTGCCATTTGTGGTGACCTGCCCTGCAATGCATGGTCGTGATAACCCTCAATTATGTCCTCCTTTTTGTTGTAAAACAAATTCTTTTTTATTGACATCTCATCAAACATAAGGATATACTCATTGTCTGAGGGAGTCTGTTGCTTTATTGTTTTTTTTTCAAAACATTAAAAATTTGGTCATTAATACCAACTTTCATGTGAAACTTGCTTAATAACGCTTTTAATGAACTAGGTGTTGGCAGGCAAATCATCCTTCTTAATAATTTGTAACACCTAGGGTACCTTTTATAAAGTCTTAGCGCTATTATTTTGGAGTCCATGTTCCATCTTCGACCTTTTGATTTTTTTTATAGTTTTGCAATTCTCCTTGCAAAAATAATGCAAAAGAGGGGGATATTTTACATTTTAATATTTCATTTACTGAATCATTTTTGCTCAATACTTTGAGAAATGCTTCATTCTTTAGATGCTTTACAGTTTTTTGAAGCCTGTTAATTTTTCTCAGATGATATTTCATTTTTATCAATATAGGTATCTTTATCCTTTTTGTTTTTCGTGGATGGATTTGCAGCAGCAACAGGGTTGATATTCTCAGTTACTTGAGGAATAGCACTAGTTTTGTCAGGAATGGTCTTATAATGCACATTCTCACACAAGGGTTGTATACATTTTGACGGACACACGGAACAGTTATAGTCTTCTGAATATTTTCAGACAGTGGTTGTTTAGTAGTTGATGGACCCGCAATATGTTGAATGACATTCCTTTGTTCCAAATTAAGGTCAGCTAATGTGATCTGAAAATTATAGATTATCAAATCATTATTTATATCATGTATCCTAGCATTGATCAACCTATCTCTAAATTTCAAACAGGCTTATAAATTTATAAACATTAAATACAACTTGTTTTTATTAATGAATGTTGCTTTAACCCATTACCGCCACCATCCTATATATGTTTTTAAAGTTTATATCTTTTGTTTTTTATGGTTGAGAAGTAATGGTAGGTTACGTCGCATACCCTTATAAATCACCACTCAATCTGTTACCACCGTTCGTTAACTAGAAAATATTTTCACTGTAGTATGAGAAAAGCCACACAAAAGAAAAAAATGTAGATAGTAACAAAAGGAAGATTAACTAACCTTATCACATTCCTCATCAGGTACTGCAGATTTGACTAGCCTCTTTCCAAAATTATCAATGAATGATGATTTCTTAAAATGTTTAGTGCACAACATTAAATGCTTAGAATGAAGCTTGTTTTGAAATTCTGGTGACCACCAAGAGTCATGAGGAAAACAGTACTTTGCCCATAGTTCACATCTGAACAAATACAATTAAATAATAATATACTACTGAGGTGCTAAAAACATGCTTGGAAGAAGAGTGCAATACAAGAGATTGTTCCTTTCAAACAATGTGATTGTATTGTACCTATACATATATAAATATTACTCCACATGTTATTTCTATGTGTACCAATACATCTATAACTACTTTATTATGTTATGATTTCTATGTGATACACCTCATGCTGTTCTGCATAATTTCTCTTTAATTTTCAGATTTATTTGCACACGTTTTTAAATCGCTTAATATGTATCTTAGGTTTTATTAGCAGATGCGGCCCATAATAATTTTTATTTCTGTTACTTTATTAATTCAGTGGTTCAAATTTAAACATTTTAAAATTTTTTTAATCAGTACCTAACCAAAAAGCTATTTAGCATACGTACCGTAAGCTATTTGTTCTCCCAGGCTTAGGAAAACGATGCAAGGTGATGTTACGATCATGAGCAGGAGAACATCCACACTTGTAACATTTCCTTTCGTTTTCTTTCATGATGAAAGATAAAATTGAATCTCTGTCTCTTTAGCACAATGCACAGCAGTTGTTTTTGAGTCTCTTTACTCACTGTAAACACTAAAACGGAGGAACGGGATGTTCAACTCAACGTTAGTAATGTAAGAAATAAGTTAATATCAAAATATAAACTTAATTTGCAACACAAATAAACAAGAACACAACCGCAAGCGCAAGGGATCTGCCATTTGTAATTTTGTTTATTTGCCGTTGCCTTTTTATTATAGTATGCAGTTTCATATTCATACATTTTGTTACTTCAATAAAGACGTAATAAATATATGTTTAACGAAATATATTATATAATAAAGTATTATAATTATTAAATAAAAAAATGATTAAAATGATGTGTCATTTAAAATAATATTTCTTTCATGGCAAGATAACATAAAGTGCGAGGGGGATAGATATTAATCCATCTCGCTTCCTTAAAGCCCCCCCAAGGTCATCTCCCGGTACCAATCTTTTATTAGGAAGTTGACTGGCCCTGGTGGAACCAGAGTAACAGAAATAGCCTAACGGATCGGTAAGCTGAAGTGGCAATGGGCCTCATAACAGACAGCCTCATAACATCTAGTGACGATATTAGGCGGCCTCTCACAGGATGGAGTGACGACCTGATAAGATATGTAGGAAGTCTATGGGTTCAGGTAACTCTGCCTTACTTGCCGCGCTTGGCAAGTGGGTTGGCAACCGTAGATTTTTATATTTTAGTCATTATTGGAAGACGCTGCTGCCCATCTCTTAATTTGTTTCCCTCTGTCATCTCTCACGATAGCCACGGGATGATATGAGTAGTGGATATCTTTAAACCGCGTCAATATGATTAATGGAAAATAACATTAGAAGTTTAGTTCAGTTTAGTTTGCGACGGGCTGTTTTTCGCAACTCCACGTCTATGCGCGTATTTTGCGTGTGGGCAGGAATAATGCGATTATTCAAGCCATGAGATCTCCTCGAAGAAGCTCAATAGTCTCTTGATGTTGCATGCAACTTTGGGGAGTGATCCCGGCGTGCCGAGATGATTAGCCCTGTACGTAGCGACCTCCGGACATTTCAGTAGCACGTGGGCCGCCGTTTCTTCCTCCCCCATACATGCCCTGCACAGGGGACTATCTGTAACACCTATAGTAAATAAATGTTTGTTAAAGGTGCCGTGTCCTGTGATAGCACTTGTTACTATCCTGATCTGCGGCTTGTTCAGTCTCATTAGAACTTTGGTTAAGCGACTGTTTATTACAGGTAGGGCCTCCCTAGCTTGTCTACAGTCTACTAGATTTATCCAAAGCTGAGCGTGTTGATTAGTGAAGTGTCTACGTACCATTGAACGAACGTTACCAAAGGGGATTGGTATGATTGGTTCTGGCCCTATAGTGGCCAGAGCCGATCCTCTTCTGGCCAGTTCGTCCGCTGCATCATTGCCTCTGGACAATAACATTAGAATTAAAAACTATGGGAATGAATACATTGGAACTGTATATTTAAGAGACCCATATTTCAGCAAATGTGCTATAGATTTGTACTATCAAAAAAAGAATAAAAAACATTACAGTTGTATAGAAAGAAGTGTATTATATATTAATTAACAGAATTATAATTGCCTAATATTCTTTTCAATAAATAATTTCTTCAGTCATAATTTTATTTTAAAATAACGTGACATCATTTATTATTTGTTTGTGACATGAAACAATCAATTTAAATTTTAATTAAATTTGTGAATGTACAAATATAACAACAACAAAGATAACACTAAATTTAATTACCATTACTTCTATATTCTTTACTTACTTTTATATATATGCTTGTATATATCAGCCAAAGAAAGATAATCAGTCTTCTATTACATAAGACAATGCTTATTCATGTCAATAAGTACAAATAATAATTGATAAGCTCAACAGATTATTTAATATATTCAAAATCAATAAAATATATGTCAACAGTAAGAACATGCATTTATACATACATATTTATCTAAAATATTTGTAACCAACAAGACTTAAGGCACATATGTGTGAGTTTAGTAATGCACTTTTAAAGTAGAAAGAAGTGTGCATAACTGTATTCTTGACGTGTGTCAATATGATAAACACAGCACATATTATCTTTTCTTAGTTTGAGATCAACATTAAATAAATAGGACTTAATTGATGTATGCTGACAATCAATAATATGGAACACAGTATTTCTAAGATGTATAGAACTATAAAATTCAACCAGTACATTATATGATAAGTATCATTTAGTGCAGACAATTAACATTCATTTTAAATATTGACTTAGACATATTATTTTAAGTCAAAAAAAGATAAAGTAACTTCTTTTTACTTATATATTTTAGAACTCTGCTGATATTATGTTGGCTATGATAGTAAAAACTTTTTTTAACTACTTAAAAATAACAACTGCAGTCAAAATACATTAGTGAAAGTTGATAATCTTAAACATTAATTTCATAAACTTCAAATAAAAAGGTTCACACAAAACAATAAATGTAAATACACAATTACAGTACTAAAAGGAATGAACATGATCAATACCTATAAAGGAAAAAAGTCAAAGTAGCAGTCTAGATACATTGCGCTACTGGACAAAAGCCTCATATTTTTAAATGGTTTTTAGAGGGAACATACAAGAAAATTGTGCATAATGACTACTGAACAAAGAGTAATTATAGAATATTACTAATATCGACTTTGCCATCTATTAACTTTTGTTAGCAAAATAAGTGCCCCTGTGACTATGGTTGCTGCATGTGAGCCAGAAATATCAGGAATTAAAATTGTTAAAATTAAAAAAGCTTGTTACTCATAAACAGTACAATATCTAATTAAGCCTTCTCACATGTTTTATACAAAATAATTTATGTGCATTAAACAGATAACATTCCAAACCTAATCCACTTAACAGTAACGAGAATTTGTTAGCAAACTCTTATGTGCTTTTATGTATCCCAAATATGGGCCTTCAATATTACAGCCTTATGTGCTGCTAAGCTGCTGTAAAGGATTGAATTGGAGATATATAATATCTCCAATAATATCTCCAATTCAAGCCTTTGATGTTGTGGTTAGGTCACAATTATTCCGCCATTGCCTGGTTTATGACATCTTGTCTTGAGGCTTCTTAGCGAGAAAGCAGTTGTGCATTGACCCTAAAATTTTTCTATTTTTGTCAATCATTTGCCTTTTAGTTAGCAGTCTAAGATTTTTATAACATATATTACTGTTTTGGCTCAATCTTATAACAAGTAAATAATTTAAATATCAATTCATACAAAATAAATTAAGTAAACTAGAATAATGTATTTGCCATAATACTGTGAGGTAAAATTAGAAATACATAAACAAACCAATATACTTAAATTGTCACTAACTTTATACTAATATTCAAGTTCATAGTTGTTTTTGTTCCATGTTACAAAATAGTGGCCTAGCGCCTTCTGGGGCATTTTCTAAAATCCAAGGGTGCTGCAAAACTTGTGTCAATGGTAACCTTTGCTCTGGGTTTATAACTAGAAGCTTACCAATTAAGTCTTTTGCCTCTTCAGAAATAAAATCTGGATATTTAATGATCACATATCTAATTTTTCTAAATGTTTGATGATTTTCCTTTGCTTCAAATGGCGGTAAACCTACCAGTAGCTCATAACACAGTACTCCAAGACTCCAAATATCAACTGCATAATTGTGAGGTTTTCTGTCTATCATCTCAGGAGACAAGTATTCTAAAGTACCACATAGGGTCATACGCCTTGAAGATGGTGAGTGCACTGAACAGCCAAAGTCAGCAATTTTAAGTTCATAATTATCTCCGATTAGCAAGTTTTCGGGTTTGATGTCACGATGGATAACATTTTTCGAGTGACAGTATATTAAAGCTTTTGTTAAATCCCTGACATAGATGGCTGCGGTTTTCTCATCAAATCTCTTGTGCTCTTTGAGAAACTTATATAGGGCACCATGCTTTGCGTATTCCAAAATCAAATAAATCCTCTCATCGTCATGAAAATAACCATACATTCGTAGAATATTTCGATGACGTAGTCGACACTGATTTTCCACTTCGCGGCGTATTTGATGTCCCATTTCCAAATACTGGATTTGACTTTTAAGCATAACTTTTAAAGCAACGACATAACGAGCCCCTTTTTCACGGGCTAAGTATACATTGCCGAATTTACCTTTTCCAAGGGGCCTTCCCAATTCAAAATCAGATAGCGACCATTCCTTTTTCTTGTCATCATTCTTAAGATCCGGTTTTTTTTCTTCTTTCTCGTTACTCCGAGCACTGCACTGAGGGCGATCGAGAGGTATAGCAGGAACTTTAAAATCACTAGGGCCCATTTCATGAGAGGTTGTTGGACAGGTGCAACAAAACGCGTCGTTTAGCGGACGATTTTCTGCACACTTGCACTCCTGAATGTTCATTGTAATTAATATTATTAATAAGTATTTCCTTTAATTAGAAAATATTTCGTGTAAAACTATAAAATTATACCACCAAACTGTCTCGTAAGTTTAGACCAATGATTTGAATTTTGAACATTCGATTAACGTACAGTTGCGTACAGTGTTGGAGTCAGGAAAATAGTTTGTGCGAAATTATGGTGTTGCCAAGCTAGAAATATTGTATTATGGGTAGAATTATTGTATTTTTTTTTTTTGCTAAAGATTTTTTATTTATTTAAGCTGTCTAAATCCAAATTTAATAGGTTCTTGCTGTTTATATTTGCATAAATTAAAAATATGTTATTAATTGTTTTTTTTTTAATTAAATAAAACAATAAAACTAAGGGTACAGAATTAAGCAATACGAACTAAAGAGGAATGAAAAATTCGAAGTCGTCTTCTTCTTCGAGTTCGAAATCTCGACGTGTAGATGTAGACGGATTTGACTGCAGAGAAGTTGTTGCATACAGGACATTGGAGACAATTTTATTTGCCATTTGATTCGTGGGATCAAATGATATACATCCCTTTTCAAGACGTTTTGCGCTGTCAGAAGCGATAACTGAATTATTAATAGTGTTAATGAAAATTCTGTTCCGACTTTTCGTCTCAATAAGATTTATCTTGTTATACATGCGCTCGCAATCTGCAGTGGCGTGAGGGATGCATAAAGCGTCAAGAGTGAACTGTGCGAGAACAGTAAATTCTTCATCGCCACAAAGGTTTTCAAAATTTAACAAATTAGACCAAAACAGGTCGACTTCTTTTTTTGAGTTGTGTCATCTAAGGATTTCAGTAAACTGCCATCGCCTTTTGCAGTATTATGAGTAATTATTCTGGGAAATAATGTAGCCAATAGCATGATGGAGGGTTTATTCTGTCTGTGGTTACTCGAAAGACCTAACTTAGGATTTAAAGAGCTTATTTCCGACATCACTTTATTGGAAAAGTCCCAGCATTTTTTATTTCAAAAGCAGCTACTATGAGGAAATTCCTACGCCTATTGCGATTGCGTAGGACTTCTTTGGACGTCTTCATTACTAAGATGAGTTAATACACATACTACTAGATATAGTTGTTGTATAAGGGGAAATTATGATTGATTCGTGGGATCTATATTAGCCGGGAGTGTATTTGAGACATAATAATTTTTCATATAACAAAGTAGATTTCTTTTTTTTTTAATATTTCAGTAACAACTACTTTACTTGCCTGAAAATTCTGTTTACCACTGATACAAGAGACAGCCAGCGAGTTCGTGAAGGATGCAGAATTTTGTGGGGTTTAAGATTAAGAAAAGTTTGAAATTGCACAAATTGTGCAGTACTTTTGGATCTTCCTTTAAAGAAATTGTAAATAGATCGCGCCAATTCCTCACGCCGGTTAGGCAGACTTTTGCATGCCTCACTTGTACACAAATGTGCAGAGGGGAAATACACTTTAGTATTATAATACCCGGGTAATATATTCTAAAGCGACTTGCGACTGAATTATAAGACCCTATCATTGTATTGCATTCGTCGGATCCGAATCCAAGATGTTTGCATCTGTAATATCGAGTTCTACAAAACTTTGCTTTATTTCATTATATTGACTCTGTTAGCGACGAAAAGTGAATTTGATTGCTTATTTCCATTTTATTCTTATTTGTGATCAGAAACTACGTAAAGACTGTTAGTGTTAGTAACGAAAAGTGAATCTAATTACTATTTTAACTTTATTCTTATTTATAATCTAAAAAACTACATTAGAAATGCTAGCAACGAAGTGTAAATTTAATCACTTGTTTAATTCTGTTTTTATTGTAATTTAAAAACTACGACAATACGTGATTTAACTACTTGTATAATTTCGTTTTCAATTATAAAAATAGATCTTAGTCAATAAGAAAATTTAAATGTATTCTGCATAAAGTCTTAAGATTAAGCGTAATTTTGTTATCACGATAAACATTGTGCATTCCTGCCGCCTGGCGGTGCTACGTGTATTTAGTGCAGGAAAAAGCTTCGCTACTAGGGAGCTATACCGTGAGAAAACCGCTCCAGTATTAGCTACTAGGGAGCTATACCGTGAGAAGACCGCTTCAGTATTTTTATTTATTAAAGGTGTAAAATAACGATTTTAAGGATGTTTAATGTAATGGCAAATATAAACTAGTTCTAATATCAGAAATACCTATATAAAAACATTGTAAGGGATGATTTACCACAACAATAAAGGAAATTTGTAAGTTTCCCTTAGAAAAGGTCACCCTGCGCTCTGTTTGGTCGACGGAAAATCATTAGTGCCGTGTGCAAAATTCAACCATTGTGATTTCTCAAAATTGCCTATAAAAAAAGAGGAGTTTTTTGTGGTGAAACGTTCCAAATCCGGCAATGTAAGAATAAAACATCAAGAAAATAAATAGAAGAAAACTCTGAAGAAGTGTTATTATTGCTAATCCTACTGCAACTGCATGCTCTCCAGTTATCATCCCGCCAGCAAACCCGCTACATTACTAACATACTCACACAAGAGCAACAACATTGGTTCTTCGAAAAGCCGAATCGCGTTCAAGAAAAAACAGGGAAGGTGCCTTCGAATACTAGATCAAAGTCAGTGCAGTCGAAGACTACGAGTGAAACTAACGCTACTACGGGTACCAGTACGATGGATTGGACTATGAATACGCCGAGTGAATCTACAAGCACGACGACTACGAACGCGTCAATTTCAAATCGATCGACGCTTACAAGATCACCGCCCGGCAGCATACACAGACAACCCGTACTTCATACCTAGAACATTGCCGGAGAGGAATCAACAGGGAATAACCCTTACCCCCCCCCCCGACCCGCACATCGAAGCGTCAGTTCCTCACCAAGAAGAGAGTCATCCAACGCCGCAGATTCAAGAAAGAAGTATCGCAGTGAAAACATGTCTGAACGAGGGAAGCATACCAACGTCCAGAGATAAGAGTCTGCAGCGGCCTCACCCTAAGAAGACGACCCGCGATCTAGACACACATTCTGTTCGCTCGTTGCATAGGAAGAGAGCAGAAGTGCAAGCAAAAATGACAATGGCATTAAGGGGACTAGAACTGGCAGAAGCTCGGTCAAACGTTGCTCAAGCAGAATTAGATCTTTTCAACGCGGAGTCAGAAGAAGAAGATGGTGCTGGAGAATAACTGTTCGAACAAACTCGAGAAGCGGTGGTTCATCCAGACCGCATACATGCCTAATAAAAACCACAAACCGATGGAGGCAGAAGAAAAGAAGAGTGACATCCAGGAACTGGCTTCAGTCATACTTAAGTTATCCGAGAAGTCACGTGACGCCGTTTCACCTAAGCACTTTGAACTCCCTCACTTTAACGGAGCCTGTGAAGAATGGTTGGCTTTCAAGAGATCATACGAGGATGTGGCCGCTTCTTTCAGTAACAATCAGAACCTAGCGCGCCTTAGAATGGAGATCCAAGGAAAAGCTAGAGAAGCTGTTCAAAGCCTGCTGTTCACAACCGAAGACCCACGCGAAGTAATCAAGGGACTAGAAGCGAGATTCGGAAGACCTGGAGCGCTGGCATTAGCAGAACTAGAGAAAATGAAGAACCTTCCAAAAGTCGGCGAGAATCCAAGTGACATATGCGTATTTGCAAGCAAAGTGAAGAACGCCGTCGAAACAATCAAAGCCCTGAAGAAACCACAGTATCTCAGTTCCCCTGAAACACTGAGAGTTATAGTGGACAAGATGCCGATATCAATGAAGTTTCGTTGGTTCGCTTACCACAGAAGCCGAAGAGATGAAGAAATTCAGGAGCTATTACTCGTCGAAGCGTCCATGGAAACAGAAGCCGACATGTGCGAGGCTCCGCCTGAAGCATCCTTAGAGCAAAAGAGGGGAGTAAGAAAACCCGTTCATTTAGTACAAGAAGCGTCAAAAAATATAAGAAGTCATGTCCGCTCTGTGAAGAAGAACACTTCGCACTAGAATGTAAGAAGTTCAAAGAAGCTAACCTGAATGGAAAATGGGATATGACCAAGAAGGCAAAGATATGCTTCAAGTGACTCCGATTTAAGCACTCAAGAATCAACTGTAAAGCCCCAGTCTGCAAGCTGTGTAAAAGATGGCATCATACCATTTTGCATTCTGAAAAACCACCAGCACCAATAGAAAAAGAAGCAAGAGAAAAAGATACCAGTAGCATTTCAGAAGAAAAGTTTGCCTCAATTCACAATGCCAAAGGAGAAGAGAAGGCCTACCTGAAGATGATCCCAGTGAACCTCAATGGCCCAAAAGGCCAAGTTCGCGTGTTAGCATTATTAGATGAAGGGTCAACGGTCACACTCTTAGACGCATCAATCGCTGAGAAGATCGGACTCGAAGGGAAGCAATAAAAACTTACGATCGAAACAGTCGGCGGGAAGGTGTTGAAAAAAGATAGTTCACAGAAGATCGAGTTCAAAATAAAAGAGGCTCACAGAAGAGAAAAGAGAACTATCGTAGCAAGGACCATCGATGACCTGAAGCTGTCTGAACAATGTATAAACAAGGACACAGTGAGAAACTGCGAGCATCTAAAGGCAATTGAAAGCCAACTCCTCTACGTTACCGAAAGACCCAAGCTACTGATAGGCCAAGACAACTGGGGACTAATAGTAACAAGAAAGCTGAAGAAGGGCAAACCGTCAGATCCTGTAGCCTCCCTCACAAACTTAGGGTGGGTGTTACACGGATGTGAAACAGGAGCAACTGCAACAGTAAACTTCACTCACTATGGCAGAGCGACCACTGATGAAGAAAACATAGAAGAAATCGTCCGAGAAAATTTTCAGTTGGAATCTCTCGGGATTCAAAATCGGTCGATAACCAACGACAGCGACAGAAGATCACTTGAAACTGCCAAGCGGTCAATATGAAACAGACCTCCTGTGGAAAAAAGAAGATGATACCCTACCCACTAATTACAACCAAGCAATCCGACGCCTAGTCAACATCGAAAAG